TAAACATATTACATTTTGTCCTCACTTATGCGGGCATTGATTACAGGTGATCAAAAAATTAATGGAACGTCTTACTCCAATTTCCCAAAAATTTGGGAATACAACACTGTTATTATTAGTAATATACTGCATCTGTCCAAAGTGATATACGTGTCCTTGCAAAAATGTTGATGACGTCATTACTTGAAACATATGCGTAGCACACTGCTTCACATTTACTTTTAACATTGTATACATATCTTATAATTTTTCCAAAATCAAATTTTGTAATTTTTCGAAAAAGCTGGATGTGATTTACTGTAGTTCAGAGAAGAGGGAAGTTATGTCGAAAAATATTCTTATATCAGTATAGAGTACCAGAGGGCACCATTTTGTAAATTTCCCGGTGGACCCCAGGTTCTCAATCCGACACTGTCCGTTTGACTTATACAACAAAGCTTTTTTTACATTTTTTGGTAAGTTAGAAAAGTATTATAATAGAATCCAGTTTGGTTACTTTCATGTTTTATCGACGTTTGATAATAACCCCCAGAATATAAAAAAATTGGTGGAAGTTTGTTTCGGCAGAACTTCCGCCTCTTTGAAAAAGTATGAAATTTGATTTTGCGATTTTTGTTTTGTGATAACCTCTGTAAAATAAAAACCAACATCCTCCACAACCCCCGCGCCACGGGGACATAAACTTGCCAAAATCAGTCTAATCTTGGCAAGTACTAAATCCGCCCACCCGCCCGTTATTTTCTCAGAGAGTAGGTCATTTGCCAGAATGTCTTATTTTCGCAGGTACAAACCCGCCCACCCGCCCTTTATTTTCTTAAAAAAAAATGTCTTTGGAAATTTCAGAAGGTACCAGGATTTTTGAAATATTCTGTTTCGGATTCAAATTTATTAAGGATGTCAAAATGTGCCTTATTTCATTCATTTTTGAGATTCTTCAAAAGTCGTCACAATTTTCGAAGAAATAACCCCTCCCCCCCCCCCCAAAATTCTGGAAATCGAAATCAACAAAAGAATCTCTTTTGGTCATTTCCGGAGGTGCTATGATGGCAGACCAAGATTTTCTAAACATGCTCTTTCAGATTCAAATTTTAAAATATCCCAAAATAAAGAGTTTAGACAGTACTTCCCTCGCTGTCGGAAACTTGACGACTGCATGCCTATTGTGTTTTTTTTCTCATTACATTTTTGTAGTGGGAATTTAAAAAAAAATTGCGATGACGTCATCAACATTTTTGCAAGGACACGTATATCAGTTGGAATAGATGTAGTGTAATACTAAGAATAAAATTATTATATTCTCAAATTTTCGGGAAAATGAATTGGGTCGTTTTGAATATTGATTTGTAATAATCAATAAAATAACGAAACAATTTACTCACGTATACGTATCAGAGGCAACTGAAAATCGTGTATGTATAAACATTCTTAATTTAAGATGACAGGCGTAACAGCATACGTGAGAGTCAAACAGAGAAACTATAAACAAAACGACCATCGGTTTTATTGCTTCGACTTCCGCTTATTATATAAAACATTGGGTTTTATTTTAATTCTTGACGCTGAAATTCACAATTGGTTGATTATAAACATGTCTATTTCACATTCGCGGAACCAAGTGAACTCATAAAACAAATGCAGGTCTGTAATGTTAAAGTCGATGTAAATAAGCGTGCTACCCTTATGTTTCAACCGAGTTTTTCCTTTAACAAATTTTGTGTCTACCAAATTGGGTTGGTTGGGGTGTAATACTAATAATAAGTGTTGCCTTTAATTTAATCAATAAAATAAATTTACTTCATTAATTTTTTTGAACCATCTCTTAAGAAAATCTAAAAAATATGAATGGAATGATAAATCACAGGTACAAACTCATCATATTTTTTGCATTTTAGATAGGATTTATTCAGCAAAATTTAAGGGTGACGTCATCAATTTTTTTAGGAGGGATGAACAAATACATTTTGAACAAAAGTTTACCATGCTTATAATAACTTTAAAATATTCCCAAGATTTCAAAGCATTCGGTTTTGTAATTCCTGATTAAATCGATAAAATAAATTCACGCCTTCATTAATTTTTTTGAGTCACCCTGCATATGCAAATCCAAAAATATGAATGGAATCATAAATCACAAGTACAGACTCATCATATTTTGTACATTTTAGATACGATTTATTCGGCAAACTTTTGAGCTGACGTCATCAGTTTTTTGTAGAAGATAACCAAATATATTTTGACTAAAAATTTATTATGCTCTTTACAACCTTAAAACATCTGCAAGATTTCAAAGCATTCGGTTTTGTAGTTCCTGATTAAATCAATAAAATAAATTTACGCATTCATTAATTTTTTTGAGTCACCCTGTATATGCAAATCCAAAAAATATAAATGGAGTGATAAATCACAAGTACAGACTCATCATATTTTGTACATTTTAGATATGATTTATTCCACAAACTTTTGAGCTGACGTCATCAAGTTTTTAGAGGGGATAAGCAAATATTTTTTGACTAAAGATTTGTGATGCTCTTTATAGCCTTAAAACATCTGCAACATTTCAAAGCATTCTGGTTAGCAGATTAAAAATTAAATTTCAAAATGTTGTTTTATAATTTTGATTTTTTTTCCAAAAATCTGGACGTTTCGGGTGAAAAGTCGATTCAGAGTTGTAAACTACATGTGTAGGACTATGTTATTTTATACAATTGAAAACCCATTAACTATGTACAATTTTGAAGTGACGTCATCGCATTAGTGGTGGGGATGATTAGACAAATTTTGGTTAGCGTTTTACCATCTACATGATATTCTTAATATAAGTACAAAATTTCACAACAATCGGTCGAGTACTTTCGGAGATTATCTGTCTAATAAAAATCCGGGACGGCAGACGGACATACAGACGGACGGACAGACGGACAGACGGACAGACGGACAGACGGACAGACAGACGGAAATGGGAGACCTATTTCTTCGTCTTCTAGGGGTCATGAAAGATGGAGAAAACGTAAAAGTAGAGAGTCGGCCGACGGACTCGATTACAATACTTCCTTTGCTTACGCTCGGGAAGTAAAAATTGGTAAGAATTTTCGAAAAATGAAGCCAAAGAAATTCTAGAAGTCGAAATCAATAAAAGAATCTTTTAGTAATTTTCAAACGTGCTATGGTTTAGGAATAAAATTTTCGAAATTTTCTGTTCAAATTCAAATTTTTGAAATATCCCGAAATTTGTCTTATTTCATTAATTTTGTAGAATCTTCTAAGATGATAGGAATTTTCTAAGAAATGATGCCAAATAAAATTCTAAAAGAAGTCGTAATTAATAGAAGAATGTTTGTTATTAATTTTCAAAGGTGCTATGGTTCAAAAATAAATTTTCTAAATATTCTGTTCAAATTCAAATTTTTTTAAATGTGCCAAAGTTTAGCTTAAATTCATTTTTGAGGCCTTGGAAAAACGGTAAGAATTTTAGAAGAGATAAAACCCAGAAACAATTCTGGGAATTAAAATCAACAAAACAATCTCTATCAATAATTTCCGAATGTGTTAAGTCCCCGGACCAAGATTTTCAAAATATTCTGTTTGAAATCAAATTTTAAAATATTTCAAACATTGCCTCATATCATTTTGATAATTCTTGACAAATAGAAAGCATTTCCGAAAAAATGAAGCCGAAAAAATTCTGAAAGTCGAAACCAATAAAAAAACGTTTGAAATATGTCTAAATTTGAAATAAAGGGCGGGTGGGCGGGCCTACAACTTGCCAAGATAAGACTGATTTTGGCAGAAGACGTACTCGCTAAGAAAATAAAGGGTGGGTGGGTGGGATGGGGCTATTACTTGCTAAGATAACACTGATTTTGTCAAATTACCCTCTGGTAATATAAATGTCGGGTGGACGGGGCTTAAATTTACCAAAATAAAGTTGATTTTGGCGAGCTCTAGAAACGTGAAACTACTTTTTCGTACTCTAGGGGGCATGAAACGTCCAGAAAATATAAAAGTGGCCTTTCCTTAGCTTATGGTCAGGAAGTAAAAATGAAGATAATCAATAAGAAATCTTTTGTTCCAGTTAGGTATGTTTGAAATCAAATCAAATGAATCAAAATGTGCCGCATCCGAGTCATTGCTTGAGTTTAAAAATTTTTAACTGAAAGACAAAGACAACTTTTTCCCTGATTGACTTTAAAATCTTCACTAAAAAAATCCTCGCATGTTAAAAATTTCAATACACCTTATGAAAAAAAATGTTTTGATAGAAATTTAAAAACAGTAGAACAGTAAAAGTTACATTATTAGAATCAGTAGTGTTTGGTTATATTACATTTAAAAAACTAAGACAAAATTTTGAACAGTTTTTGAAGAATGACACGATAAAAAAGAAGCACAATTTTAAAATTACGAAAATTCCAGAAATAATTCGATTAATATATAGAAATCCAATTTCACCACAAATAGAAGCGGAATGAAAAAAAAACTATATGACAATTTGTGTAAAATTCAAGTATCAACGTCTTCACACTGGACAAAAAATGGTGTTAAATTTTGGTCAGTTTACTTTCAAAGTCTGCAACAAGCTTTAAGATTGTCAACACATTTCAAACTTCAAACACACCAAAAATATCTCATCAAAATAAAATAAATCTTCTATAAAAGCAAATCCGAAATATATCGGGTCACCGCTTCGTCTCTATTTCAACCGATTTTTTAATAACTCGAACCATTTCTCTTAAATTACCCTAACACATTTACGAGCGATAAAGTTCGCACCTGTAAAATATTACCGCGTTGTATATTTTCCTTCTCCTAATATCGTTGACATGTTTCTAATATTTTCGGTCATAACCCGTCTCGAAAATAAACCGTCAATACGTTTTGCAACGTTTATGATCGACCAGCCTATAATTGATTTATAAAAATAACCCCATAGCTTCGGCAAGAACAGCGTTTTGGCTTTCGTGATAGTAAGTAGCCCAGTTCAGTTTATCTTGCACTCTCAGCTAAAGCCGTGCAATCGTCGGACCGTGGTCGATTACATCGATGTTCTTGAATTACACTACAAAGGAAAATAAGACAGTGCTTCGAATCGCAACAAAGTAAAAACTGATAAGATTTTTTAGTGAGTACGCTGCAATCGCGGGTTTGCCGTAACCGTGAACTCCTGTTGACTTGACTGTTTTTAATTAAAATGTGCCGCAATCTTGAACAGACGTATTTTTAAAAAGTGTTGAGGTTGGTTTGGTTGTTGGAATGCCGAATTTTGGCACCCGGGACGTCGCCGGCGTCGTGCTGCTGCTGATTGTTATCACTTCAGGTATGTAAATAGTCTTTTTTTACTTTTATTGGGTTGGTTTAAATGAGGAGAGAGCTTAATTGTAAAGAATGTTGAAATAAACAATAATAAAGAGATTTATTTGCCGTACGTGCATTGTTACAGTAAATTTAGCTCGTCGTGTCGTAAATCACTGTAAATCCTCGCCGGCAAGTAGGTCTGTGTCAAGTGCAAGGAATTTCAGATTGTGTAATTTCACATTAATTTTCACATGTTTTATTTATAAGGATTTATCTGATGCCATAAGCGGGTGTAATATTAATTCGAAATTTATCAGAGGAGTTCGACAGTTCAGAGTCAATTTCAAATTTTGTGGGTGACGCTGTGAAAGTTATGGCGTCATTGGTTTCAACGACAACCCCATTGTTAATGCAAATTTAGAACAGTATAACTGAAATTCAGAACAAGATAAAAATCTAAATGTGCCAATGTACTTTCCGGGATGGTTAAACTAGATATGTAAAAAAATGTGTAAATACTTTAAACCCCAGTACAGTTTAACAAATCGAAAATAAATAATAAGTACATATTTTTTAAATTTTCCTGCAGTATTAAAAAAAATGAGTATTTGTAGTCCGTATATTTTTTTATTGCAATTTACGAGTAAATTTTTTGATATGTTTCATCTGATAGAACTTTGTGTTGCTCTTGCTACCGAAAAATGGATGATAAAATTAGTATATTTTGGAAATGACATTAGAAATTGTCAGGAGTTATATTAAAATATATACGGCATAAAAACATCAAAAAATATTAATCTTATTTTTTTGTGTATTTTTTCTTTCGTTCTTGTTCTACTTAAGCAAGATTTTATACTATTATCTCATTTTTTATACTGTATTCTTAAAATTCTTATAAGTTTATAAGTTCAAATAAAAATAGAGGTGAACTACAGGTATAATAGAGACCAGGAGTTAGTGCACACTTTATGTTTCTAAAAGTGTTTATTGTATGTTTCAAAATTTTGTCATGACGTCATCACTCATCAACATTTGTGCAAGGACATGTATGTCAATTTGGATAGATACAGATAATAACAGTATTGTGTGCTAAAATTTTGGGGAAAATGGAGTGATTCGTTAATTTTTTGAATCATTCTATATAAGCATTTCTAAAAAATATGAATGTAATAATAAATTACAAGTAGATATGGCTTATCATATTTTGCAATTTTCGATAGGATTATTCGGCAAAATTTTGAGATGACGTCATTATTTTTTGGAGGGATAAACAGACACACTTTGATTACCATAGGTATATACTTACGATAACTTTAAAATTTCTGCAAGATTTTAGAGCACTCGGTTTTTCAGTTTCTGATTTGATCAATAAAATAAATTGACTCATTCATTAATCTTTTTGAGCCACCCTGTGTAAGTAGTTCTAAAAATTATGAATGGAAAGATAAATCACAAGTGTGGACAACCCTAAAACGTTTGTAAGGTTTCAAAACATTCGGTTTTGCGATTTCTAAGTTAAATTGTAAAATGTTGTTACACAATTTTTGTTTTTATTTTTTTATAAAAATCTGAATGCCTAGGGTAAAAATTCAACACGGATTCATACACTACGAGTGGAGGAGTATCTTGGAAAATATACTTCCAGGAAGGTTAGGTAGCCGCCTAGACACTGTACAATAGTTGCAGGTGCGCTACCTTTCTAAGAAAAATGTACAGTTCAACCCTTTGTAAGAGCAGGTAGCTCGGCTCCCTTTTTGGTCATAAAATGCCCGTATTTTGTATACTAGTCCAAATGGTATAAAGTTATATGACCATCATAAAAGTAGTTGACCGCAAATAAATACCCCCTTTGTGTGGTTGGCACTAAACTTACCGGTTGGCAATAAATCGTCTTGTAAACTTTTCTTGCTCACAATTAACAGGGCCGGCTTTCAAAGCGAGTGGTTATTTCGGAACCCTCAGCGGCTGCAGGTAGTAAAGAAATAGTGGAGTGGTGGATTTACATATTTAGTGAAAGTCGCCCCTGAACGAAACCACAACAGCCGGTCGAGCTGCAGTGGACACGTTATTTACGACCCTAAAACCTTTTCTATTGTAAACAACTTAACTTCGACACAATGGGATGAATTTATGATGGTCATATAACCTCATAGCTTCTGGTCTACTATACAAATTTTATCTGTTGTCTTGTGTCCGTTGCCGAAGTAAGTTCGTCGTAAATAAACCAACCAAAAATCAAGTGTTGTTTTTTATTCTCGCCACCCAACAAAGCGGAATCTCGGCGAATGAAAAGCACAAACATATGTTCTTTTATAAAATTTACTATTGTAAATTTTGGAGATGACGTCATCAATGTGAGGTGGTGGGGATGATCAGACAAATTTTGGTTAGAGTTTTATCATCTACACAATATTCCTAATATATATCCAAATTTTGAAAACAATCCATCCGGTAGTTTAGAAAATTATCTATCTTATAAAAATCGTATTCTAGGAGCCTTGAAACATTGAGAAAAGATAAAAGTAGCCGCTGGCCGATGGACTCGACTACAATACTTCTTTATGTTATGCTCTAGAAGTAAAAATACCTGTATAAAAGCAAATTATTTTCGTCATCAAATTTTTGGAAGGAATAAACAGAAAAATTCTGTATAATGGCTTACCGTGTTCAAGATAATTTTATTTAAAGAGTGTATAAGGCAGACCACAAGCGACAGACATATGGAAATGGGAGACCTACTTTTTCATATTCTAGAAACTAAGAAAATGTGAGGAAATATGAATGGAGCTATTCATCAAATGGCCTCCATTACAATATATCTCAAGCGTAAGCTAGAAGATCTATAAAAAAATATATAACGGGTGTTCAAATGTTTCATCAAGTTGGCGTCGCCTTTTTGATAGAAGAAAACATCGAAAAAACATGTCTTTTATTAATCCATACTGTTTTGACATTTGACATTTCATTCGATGACTTTTTCAATTGAACACCCGTTATCATAACTTTGATACGATATGAATTAAAATTAAATTTTTCCTTAAATTGTGGTTCGCGTAAAAATAATTTTAATTGTCTCAATAATATACAAGGTGAGTCATTAAGCGCGTGGTCCTCCATATTTCATTAATTATTATTAAAGGTAGAAAAAAAGTCAAAGACTAATTGTACGGTTCTTTGAGGACTATACTCTGAAATTATTTTAAACTGTACAGAGTGTTTTGTTTTTAAGGTGTAACACACAAACTAGTTTTTTAACTTCCCGAGCGTAAGTGAAGGAAGTATTGTAATAGAGTATATCGGACGAATCGCCACTTTTATGTTTTCTCGACGTCTCATGACCCCTGCAGTGCGAAAAAGCAGTCTTCCGTTTCCGTCTGTCTGTCTGTCTGTCTGTCTGTCTGGTGTCTGTATCCACTTATATTAGACACGTAATCTCTGAAACTGCTGAACCAATTGTTGTCAAATTTTGTATGTATATTAGAAATATCATATAGATGGTTAAATGCTAACCAAAGTGTGGCTAATCATTCCTAACAACAATTTGATGACGTCATTACAGTGAATGATATTTTAAAGTGCTTTCAGTTTTTTCGCTAAACGTTCAAATTTTCGCAAAAACATTTGCAAGGTATAATAACGTTTTAGACCTGTGACAGTACTACAAATTTTTTCTTGATCAAATTAAGAACGAGTCACCCATTTTCCCGAAAATGTGAAGAATACGCACATCTTCATATAATAATGATCAAATAAGAATTACAATATTCAGATCATTGTGTTCGATTGTGGTTTAATAAAGAATTTTAGTTCTGTTTTCAGAAGACAATCTTACTCAAAGCAAACTAATTTGTACGTGACATTCTTTCGATGTATTAACATAAATAAACACTTGCTTGACATTGACAGATTGCTATTAGCTAGTGCTGAAGGAAAAGGGGTGTTATTTATCCCTCTGGTTTTTACTTTACAGCAATTATTACAAAACGAAAATCGTAAAATCAAATTTTATCATTTTTTTAATAGCTGGATTTGTCGGATTATACTTATAGCCTCGGACCAATTTTTTATTGATCAAATTAATAACCTCATTTTCTAGAAAATGTGAGAATTTCCACGTTTTTATTTAATTATGTTCAAATAAGAATAATAATAAACATTTTATTCCATTGTGGCTTAATTAATAATATTAGTCTTCTGTTTGAGGAGACAGCTCATTCAAATTAAATAAATTTCTACGTGACATTCTTTCGATGTATAAAAATAAACAATCGAAGTTAAATACACTGATAATAATACCCTTTTTCGTTGCTTTGAATATATTTCATATCATTTGTATATTTGGGGACGGCACCTTCTTGGAATTTGTAACCCCGTGTAGCAGGGGGTTCGAGGTGTCATTTACACCGCTGGTTTTTTCTATATAAAGCTTATCACACATTTTTTATAATTTTTCAAAAAAGCCGAATTTGCTAGACGAGGGAAGTTCTGTGGAAGTAACTTTGGATCAATGTTTTTTTAAATGAAATATCCTAGATATTTTTACATGTTCTCATCATGGTTTTGTAACTTTATTGTTGAAATTCTGATGCCACTTTATTCCAATTTTTTTTTAATTTATTTGGCAATGGAGTGGTTATTTTTAAAATCTGTGTTACAATATTTTCAGAAAAGATAAATATTAGTTTTGTAAAAATATCGAAAACCTATCAAATATCGATATTTCAGGTTTTTCAAGTAGAACACCATCTATTTTATTGCTGTATCTTCTCCATTTATTGTTCTCATTCTTCTAAAATAAAAAAATTAAAAATCGCAGTAACTATCCACTTTAAATATAGAAAATACTTAACGAAAAAAAAATATAGTAAAACAAATACAGAAGCAAATATCGATATTTGGAAACTAATAATTAAAATTTTCTTATAAACACTCTGTGTAGGTTTTATTAGAGAGATAATCTTCGAAATGATTGGAATCATTGTTATCATGTTTTATTTGTATTTTAGGAATATCCCTTGTATGGCAAAACGATAATTAAAATTTATTGATTACGTCACCTACAAATTTTGCATAGCAAATGTTATTTAAATTTTATTAAATATCATAATGCTATATTTGTGGTTAATGAATCCGCCCCGAAATCACGAAAAAAAAAATTCGCAAAATCAAATTTAATCAGTTTTCGAAGAACCCGGAAATAATTGAAAAAATAAGAAAATCGAAAAACTTTAAAGATTATGATTTAGAAAAATAAATCATTGATTTTTGATAAATTCCTCAAAGGCGGTGAAAAAATACTAATTCCTTTCTTCCCGAGCGTAAGCGCAAGGCTGTCCATCATTTGGACTATGTTATAATTAGTATTTTTTATTTATTATTTATTTGTTATTTAAATTTTTACTGAAATATTGGTTTTAATTATTATTTTTATCAAGTGATAATGATTAAAGTATTTTCATGGTTTCTCGACGTTTCATGTCTGTCTGTCTGTCTGTCTGTCGTCTCTCGGCTGTCTTGATTTTTGACTGCTTGTTGTCGAGTTTTATTTGTATTTTACGAATACCGTGTATTAATAACGCCAATCAAAATTTGTGTTTATACTTTTAATTCCAAACAATTGAAAAAAAAAAAAATCGTGGATTGATTTTTCTATTTTTTTTTTGCAACGCTGATTCCAGTAGTAGTAGCAGCACGAAAATATCTTAGATTCTTAAAAGATGTCACAACTATGATTTATAAATGCGTTCTACTTATAAAGTAAAATTATATGGTTCAGTACGAAAAATTTTAGAGTACCATCTGCGCAGTAAATTTTAAAATGAAGAATATAAAGACATAATGTTCTTTTCATTGCTTTCTTTGTGAAACGAGGCCAAATAAAATTAAAAATTACAGCAAGTTAAAGTTAAATGGGACACCACTGGATATAGGTAAATTAATTTTTCAGTGAAATATTAAAAATTCATTCTTGTATCTTTCAGTAAAATATTGGACATCTGGTTAGACCAACTTAGTACACAGCATTAACTAAATATTCTCATATAATATCTGTCATAATTTTAAATCTATTTTTAAAACCATAAATGGTGTCACGTAATTTACAGTCTGTAAAAATTTTAAAAGCGTTTTACTCTACTGTTGTTTATTTTATTTACAAACTTTATTGTACACTTCACCAACAGTAAAACAAGCGTAAATTTCCAAGTTTATGAAAGGCTAATATAAATTAATTTGTTAATGAGATCGGTGACGTCATAATCAGAGTCATCTGTAACACCAAATATTTTCGATCACACGCTAACAATTTTTAAATCAGACATGAATGCTCAAAATTGAAATTTAATTAATTTAAAGCGGTTAAAGATGGAGAAAAAAAGTTAAGGTTTGTTCCTCTACGAATAAATACATAAGTCGAATTAAATGACAACTAATTAAAGTAATAAAATTTTACAGAAACCGAGTTAATGCAAATCCACAAACAATATTTAAAATTCTGAAATGATACGTTTGTCACAAATCCTTGAATAAACCATTATTTATTGTATTTAATTTATTTTCTTGTGTAATTAAATTAGCGTTTTTTTAAATCCTTGAATTATTATGGAACCCGGTGGAATAGATCAAAAATATAGTTCTGAGAACTTAAAAAAAAAAACAAAATGTAAATTTGAGAAAAGAAAATAATATGTTTCAAAAAAAGGGGCGAGGACTGCGTATATTTAGCCTAAGTAATGAGTTCGTGACAAACACAGCTTTCAATACCTTCAAGATATGTGCCTATATTTGCACATAAATATTTTATTAGGTTTGGATCTTACTTCAACACCACGCTGTACTTGCAAGCCAAATATGTAAATATGGTTATAAATTCGCCGACTTATTCGTTATTCATTTACTTTATTACCCCTTTTCTTAAAAATGTCATCAAGTATTACAATAACAAGACTATGTCAGCCTTCCTGGAAACTTAAAGCATTATTATGACAAGAATAAAATGTGCTAATGTAACCGGAAATATTTTCATTACTCATCAAATTTTACACAAAAGTATTAAACCATTCTTGAAATTCGACTTAGTGTAAACAACGTATGTACAACAATATAAATCCTCACCATGTTTAATACTAACACAAAATTTACAAAGGCAAATCCCTAATAATAAATCCACACACAAATTAGAGGTCGGTAAATATTTTAATCCGAAAATTACCGCAACCAACAGTTTAAGGAATAAATATTGCATGATGTTGTAAATGTTAATCAAGGCTTAAGTAGCAGTTATAGAATTGCCATGTGGGGAAACCCAACTGGGCTAAAATTAAAAATTAAAGTGTATTGATCATGTAAAGCGGGATTTTTAAATGACGTTTAATCTCACAAAAGCTGTTATTATAGTAATAATTTTGTATCTGACCTTAACAATAATTAATTGTCTAGATTCGCTACAACAAGAAATTCTGTGTCATTAATTTTCTAAGTCACCGAATTGGTAAAAAATTCAGTTTCCTGAGAAATTAGACGAGTTCAGTCATACATATGGTTTAGTTTAACATAAAAAGTGAAAATAAACTGAAATGCATAAGTACGATGCATAAACATACAAACTCATATCTGTCAATCAGAGAAACTATTTTTAACATTTTAACTAAACATAGGATACATTTTTAAAATTTTATTTTTCTTTTCCTATTAAAGTAAACAGTAGCAGTAGCAAACATCAACAAACACGTAAATAGTCGTTCTGATTGCGCAGCAATTATTCGTTTAATGCGAAATGGTACTTAATGCTTCGTGGAATGTTATGGTGTAAATTTGCTGTCTATATTGTTATTTACTATGTGTAATCTAGTGAGTATTATGATATCAGTGTATATTTAGAGCTTAAAAAAAGTAAAAGAATAATGAATACTAATTTTTTTTCTCTTTGTATGTAGCACATCTATGACAGACTTCCTAAGTAATAATTTGAAAAATGTGGGTAATTTGTTCAGTTATAATTAGTGTTCTTCCTGTTTTTTGACATTTGATTGACACTGGTAAATTATTTCCGGTTTTCTTTTCAAACTGCGAGATTACGAGTCCGAATTGCACAATTGTTTAAGAAAACATTAATTCGCTCTAATCAAGCTGTCATTAATAAATCCTGCCTGATCCAAAATTGCTCAAATTGTTTACATAGGCACGTAATACTTAAAAAAATCCAAACTACTGGCGATAATTTTGTCGCTTTGCCAATTCCTACGACTGAAAAAAATCCACTGCCACATTTTAAATAAAACCTTGACACTACACAATATCTGATAAAAATAGCTCCGAACGCTAGGCGTTTAACGCTAGATTAAAAATTCCTCCTCGCAACGTCTTTGGATCTGACCCGATCTGAACCCACTTGACATTGTAGAACTGACCTATCGCATTTCTACGCTCACTTTGTTTACTAAATTTTGTTTTGTTGCTTTCAGAGTCACTTACTCGATCCAGTTATGTGTGTCCAAAGAAATTCGTTGCGATTGGAAGAAAGTGTTACTACTTCAGCAAGGACGAAGCAGCCTGGCACGATGCCCACTTTCGATGTAAAAGTCTCAATAGCAGTCTGGCCGTAGTCACCAAATCGCAGCAAGAAATAACGATAAGGCGATATCTGAACAGGAGGAAAGATGGTAAGGGACGGTTGGGTTAGCTGAGTGTTGTATTTTGTGAAGATAAATTTCTAAGCAGCATCTATTTTTTTTTTATTTTGACAAATTTGGCTACTTAAACTCATTTTTTAAGACGAAAAGCATAACATTGCAGTTTTCAACCTTTGTACTTTCTCAATGACAAAAAGAACATTTTTTTATATGACGAATTTAAGCAAACATTTTTAGAAATTTACTTCTATTTCTTCTTTACAATGGAAAGTTGTTGTGATTACTGATTAAGTCGGTATTTAACACCTTCACGTGTAACATTTCCAAGTAAAGTATTCATCAGAGTGATCATGATGAAACTAGGTTAAATGCCTTCGATTATCAGCTTAGAATAATAAGTTCATTCCATTTTCCACTAATCGGATACAATATTTTTTCCTGACTTTGTTCTAAAGAGGTACTTTTTTCCATGCTTTTTTTACATATGAATACAATTATTATTTATTTACATATATTTACATTATACATTTTATGTATGTAATAAATATCTTGTATTCTTATACATATTAATATTTTCTATGATATCCTAACTAGTGGAACGCAAGTCCTAGCCAGAACATGTAATAGTCCGCGAAATCTCCCGTTCTTAACACTATTGACATCTTTGGGAGACTTACTTACTTAAGAGAAATCTTATTTATATTCTTAGCAAATTTTCCAGCTCGTAAATTCTTTCAAAAACAAGTCACCAGAAGCTCCCAAGGTTCTTTTCATACTTTTCAAAAACTGAAGACTTGGTGACCCCTAATATTCTTTTAAATGATAATAAGAGACAGTAGGGACCCAAATATTCTTTCAGATTTTACCAGAAACAAAACACCAAAATTTTTCTGGAACAAAACATCAGAAGCTCTTAAGATTTTTTTAATCTCTTTTAAAAACAAAAAGACCAGGGATATCTTTCAATTTCTTTAAAAAAAAAAAGAACACACCAGAGACGCCCAAAGTTAGTTTAATCTATATCAGAACAAAATATGAAGGGTATCAATATTCTTTAAAAATTTTTCAAAATGAAAATGGCAAACAAACCATCAAAGGTTCAAGATTCCTTTAAATTCTTAAGAAAAGACACCAGCGACTCCAAAGCTCTATTAATTTCTTTCAAAAATAAAATACCAGGGGCTCCCAAGATTATTATAAATTCTTACAAAAGGACACCAAGGACACCGAAATTCTTTTAAATTTGTTTAGAACAAAACACCCAAAGATTTCAAAGTTCTTGGAATCTCTTGCAAAACCAAATTTTCAAATGGTTTAAAAAAGATCCGAGGAAATCCAAGACTGTTTTAAATTTTTTCAAAATAAACAACAAAAAAACCAGAGATGCTTTTACGTTTTATATAAGAAAAGCACAGTAATCATAAACGACCAAGGTTTTTTTAATCTCTTTCAAAACCAGAACACCAAAGCTCACGCTATTCTTATTTTTTTTTTTTTTTTTTTCAAAATGAAAACAGCAGTGGCCACGACGATCCTTTCTTTCAAAAACAATTATCAGAGATTTGAAATTAAAAAAAAATAGAAACTGGTCGCCCTAAGAATCTATTCTCTTTCTCAAAACAAAATGCTATGGGTTTATAAGATTCTTTCAAATTTGTTTGAAGCTAAACAGCAGGAGCCTCCGAGGTTTTTAAATTCTTTAAAAAAGACACCTAAAACCCCAAGATGCTTTCAGATTTTTTTCAAAAACAAAACACTATTGACCCCCAAAATTCTTTTTTTTTTTTGGAACAAAAAACCAATAGTCTCGTAAGTTCTTTGAGTCTCTTGTCAACAAAAAGCAGAAGGGATTTTCAAGATTTTTTTATTTACTTAAAAAGACACTTGTAAATCCAACATTCTTTCAGATTTTTTAAAATTCAAACCAGCAGGGATCCCAAAATTTTTTCAAATCTGTTTGAACAAAACACCAAAAGGCTTCGAGGTTTTTTGAATATCTTGCCAAAACAAAAGAACGGTAATCTCGAAGAGTTTTTAAAATACTTAAAAAGACTAAAAGACGACACTAGGTGGTCCAAATTCAATTTCAAATTTGTTTGAAGTAAAATACCTAAAGTCTTGGAGGTTCTTTGAATTTCTTGCAAAAACGAAAGAACAGGGATCTTTAAGATTCTTTAAATTGCTTCAAAAAGACACTAAAGAATCCAAGTTTTTTTAAAATTTTTTGAAAAACCAAACCAGCAGGGACTCTAATTAGAGTTGTTTCTAATTTGTTCCTAAACAAAAAACTTGGGGCTCACAAAATTCTTTCAAATTCTTAAAAATCACCAGAAACGGTCCAAGTTATGTTAATCTTTCTATACTTTAAAAACGAAATACCAGAATTCACTATATTAAAAAAAATCACCAAGATTATTTCATCAAATTCCTTAAGAAACGAAACATCCGAGTGAACCAAGATTCTTTCAAATTCTTAAAAAAGGTGTAATGGTGATCCCACAATTCTATTAAAAATAAGAAACCATGGGCTCCAAAGATTGTTTCAAATTCGTTTGCTACAAAACACCTCTGCATTTCTTTTAAATTCTGAAATTACATCCAGGGACCAACATTCTATTTTCGAAAACAAAATACCAGAGTCGCTCAAGATTCTTTCAGATTTGTTGTATAACAAAAACCTGTAGTTACCCACCAAGAGTCTTTCAACTTCTTTCAAAAAAAAAGTCATCATGTACGGCTAAGGTTATTTTAATCTTTTTCAAAAATAAAATACCAATAGTATCGCTATTGTTTAATTTTTTTTTTTTTTTCAAATTGAAAACAGTGGCCACCACAATTATTTCAAATTCTTTCAGAAATAAAACATCAGAGATTATTTTTTACTAAAAAAAAAACACTCGTGGCCCCAAAAATCTATTAATCTCTTTCAAAACAAAGTACTAGGAGTTCATAAGATTCTTTTAAACTCGTTTGAAACCAAACCGCAGGAGCCTCAGAGGTTCTTAAAACTCCAAGATTCTTTAAAAAATTTTCAAAAACGAAACAACAAGGGACCTTCAAAATTCTTTCAAATTTGTTTGGAACCAAAAACCAAAAGTCTTTGGGGTTCTCCCAATTTCTTGAAAAAACAAAAGAGCAGGGATCTTCAAGATTATTTTAAATGTTTGGAAAAAGACACTAAGTAGTCCAAGATTCTTTCAAATTTGTTTGAAACAAAATACCAAAAGTCTTTGAGGTTCTTAGAAATTCTTGCAAAAACGAAAAGCAGAGATCTTCAAGATTATTTTAATTGTACCTAGACACTAGCGAATTCAAGATTTTTTCAGATTTTTTTCAAAACCCAAACCAACAACTCCCAAAATTGTTTCTAATTTGTTCCTAAACAAGAAACTTCGGGCTCACAAGATTCTTTCAAATTATTGAAAAAAAAATCACCAGAGACGGTCCAAGTTAATGTTAATCCTTTTAAAAACGAAATATCAGATATCACCATATTAAAAAAAAAAATCAAAACGAAAGAGTAGCGGTCACCAAGATTGTTTGATCAAATTCTTTCAGAAACGAAACACCCGAGTGAACCAAGATTCTTTTAGATTCTTAAAAATGATGTAATGATGACCCCAAAATACTATTAAAAATTCTATTAAAAACAAAATACCACGGGCTCCAAAGATTCTTTCAAATTCGTTTGAAACTAAACATCCCTGAATTTCTTTTAAATCCTTAAACAGTACACCGAGGGACCTGAAGATTCTTTCAGATTTTTTCAAAAACAAAACACTAGGGACCTCCAATATTTTTTCGAATTCATTGTAAAGCAGATAACCTGGGAGTAGGGATCTGCTTGATTCTTCCTAAAAAAAGACACTATGGGAGTTCAAGATTCTTTCAGATTTAAAAAAAAAAAAAAACAAAACACTAGGAACCCCCAAAATTCTTTCAGATTCTTAAAAAAAAGTCAGCAAAAACAGTCCAAGTTATGTTAATTTTTTTCAAAAACGAAATATCAGAAATTGACATGTTTAAAAATAAATAAATAAAATGAGAGCAGTGGTCATCAAAATTCTTTCAAATTCTTTCAGAAACTAAACATCCGGATGTACCAAGATTCTTTTAAATTCTTAAAAAAAGTGTATAGGTGACCCCAAAAATTCTATTAAAAACCAAATACCATGGGCTCCAAAGATTTTTTTCAAATTCGTTTGAAATATAACACCACTGAGTTTATTTTAAATCCTTAAAGAGTTAAAAAGATTCTTTTAAAAAGTTTTTCAAAAACAAAACACAAGAGACCCCAATATTTTTCGAATTCGTTCTAAAACAAATAACCTGTAACTTCTAGAATTATTTCAAACTTGTTTGGAACAAAACACCAGAATCCTTCAAGGTTCTTCAAATATCTTGCAAAGACAAAGATTCTGTCAGATTTTTCAAAAACAAAACACCCAAAATTCTTTCAAATTCGTTCTAAAACAAAAAAAAAATCTTCAGAGACAGCCACGGTTCTTTTAGTCTCTTTCAAAAATAAAGCACCAACGTTTCCAATATTCTTTTAAATTTTTTCACAATGACGACAACCGCCAAAAACATTCTTTCAAGTTCCTTCAGGAACAAAATATCCAGGAGCTTGAAGTTTTTAAAATAAGAGACCAAGGACCGCAAACATCTACATATTAATCTATTTTCAAAAACAAAATATGTATCAGGGAGTCCCAAGATTTCTTCAGATTTGTTCTGAAACAAAAACCTGTAGCTGCCAAGATTCTTTCAACTCCTTTCAAGAAAAGAATCTTCAGGTACGCCCAAGGTTATTTTAATCTTTTTCAAAAACAAAATACCAGAGGTCCCAATATTCTTTAATTTTTTTTCCAAAATGAAAATATCAGCAGCCACCAAGACTTTTTCGAGCAAACAGTCCGGGGACACCAAGTTTATTTTAGATTCTTAAAAAAAAATACATTAGTGGCCCCAAAATTCAATTAATCTCTTTTCCAAAACAAAATACCAGGGACTCCCAAGGTTTATTCATATTTGTTCTAAAACAAAAACCTGTAGCTACCAGGATTCTTGCAACTTCTTTCAAAAAAATTATCAGGTACGGCCAAGGTTATTTTAATCTGTTTTATAAACAAAATACCAAAGGTTCAAATATTCTTTTGAGTTTTTTTCAAAATGAAAACATCAGTGATCACCAAGACTTTTTCAAACAAACAAAACTTCCGGAGATTCCAAGTTTATTTTAATATCTTAAAAAAAGTACATGAGTGGTCCCAAATTCTGTTAATCTCTTTTCAAAAGCAAAATACTAGAGATTCCCAAGATTGTTTCAAATTACAACAAAAAACTGAGGTTTTCAAGATTTTTTCACATTTGTGCGGAAAAATACACCAGAAGCCTTAAGGGTTCTTTGAATCTCTTGCAAAAACATACGCGCAGGCGTGTCTAATATTCTTTTAAATGAAAAAAGACGATACGTATTGGAAGATTCTTGCAAATTAGTTTTAAAACGAAAAATCTGGACCTGGCAAGATTATTTCAACTTCGCTAAAAAATCACTAAAAACGATCAAGGTTAATTAAGTTTCTTCCAAAATCAAAATGCCGCAGATCCCAATTTTTTCAAAATGAAAACAGCGGCGGGCTTCAAAATGTTTTCAAAATATTTCCGAAACAAAACATCCGGGGTCTCCAAGGTTATTTTAATTTCTTAAAAAAATTACATTAGTGACCATAAAGTTCTATTAATATTTTTTCAAAAAAAAAATACCAGGATCTCCGAAAACTTTTTCAAATTCGTTTCAAATGAAACACCAGAACCTTCCACGGTTCATTTAAATTTTAAAAAAAGGTATTAAAAACTGAGATTTCCAAGATTCTTTCAGATTTATTTGGAAAAAAGACCAAAAACCCTCACGGTTCTTCGAAACTCAGATTCAAACTCTTTCCGAAACAAACCACCCGGAGACTCCAAGCTTATTTTAATTTTTTTTAAATGATATTAGTGATCCAAAATTCTATTAACCTCTTTTAAGGGGCAATTTTTTTTCAAATTCGTTTGAGACAAAACACAACACTAGGGACCCCCAACATTCGTTTTAATGACCCCAAATTAAATTCATTTAAAATGAAACGCCAGGATCCTCCACGGTTCTTTTAAATTCTTAAAAAAGCACCAAGGACTCCAAAATTCTTTCATAACAAGGAAAAAACCAGGAGCCTTCAAGGTTTTCTGAATCTTTTGCAAATACACAAGGATACGTATCTCTAATGTTCTTTTAAATATTTAAAAAAGACACTAGGGACTAGATTATTTCAAATTCTTTCAAAAAAAAAAAGAAAAACCACCAGAGAATCTTCCAAATTCGTTTGGAATAAAATGGCAGGACCCTCCAAGACTCATTAAAATTCTTAAAAAATAACACAAATTTTTTCAATAACCAAACACCAAGGATCTCAAAAGTCTTCATATTCGCATATTATCCCCTCTAAACTATGAGCACACTATTCATTAGCATTAAATTATTATAAGTTTAAGATAAGACAAAATTTGTAAAATAAAAATTAAGCTTCTAGAAAATATGTCTTGTATCGAATTATTAATAATAAGCACATAATTATAAAGTAATTCATTTAATTAATTGCAAAGACATCAAAACAATGGCAATGGAAAGAAACCGTTACTTGATTTTGCATTAGCTGAGATAACTTTTTAAACTTTATTGAAGAATTTTGAATTTGTTTCCAAAAATCTAAATTTTCAAAGTAAGGGTAGTAAAGAACGACAAGCATAGAAGCATCTTATTTTATAAAATTTGTATAGAATGTATCTGATAAAATTTTGAGATGACGTCATCAAATTGTTGATATGGTTGATTAGGCAAATTTTGGCTAGCGTTTTCTGTCTTTCTATTGTTGTTACTAAATTGATATGAAAAATAATTCCAAATAATATTTTCATTTAGGTAAGCACGAGAGATGGCTGGGCGGAAGATACAACGACCGACAATCAAGATGGGTTTGGGGCGAAAATGGAAAGCCTTTAGCCTTCTATGCATTTTCAAGAATGAACTACAACGACCCAAAATGGGCATGGCACTGTATTATTGTAGACCCTCAGCGCCAGAACAAGTAAGTACCGTACCGTAATGACCTCATTACAAAACTGTTTTGAGCCTCTTCACGCCTGGTAGGATTTCTTCTCAACTTGAAAATTAATTACAGGTGGAGTGCCAGAAGTTGCGTCGAAGAGAAACGCTACATTTGCCAAAGGTCAGTATTAGGCAAGAGAAAATTCAACAGGAGCAAATGCTACACTTCGAGCGATCGCGACGCCAGAGAGCTTTGTGCAAAGCAGAAAGTCGGAGAATCAGCCCCTGGATACTTAGGTAAAGTATTAGTATTTCCATAAAATGCACTCTTTGTTATTTCGATCAAGTGAGGACCATAACTCTATATTTGTCCCCTTTGTTCATATTGCAAGCGGTGTAAATTTAAATTAGAGTTCATTACCGAACGGCTTAAAACAGCTTTGTGGCTTGTTCAGTCTTTTCTGTTTTGCCATTTAATGTAGACTTTTTGTATCGTAAATTTGGAAAGTAATGTTCTTTCACTTGGCAGACTTCAGCAAGTTCATTACACTAAATAAATTTAGTTCGCTCCTTTTTTTTGAAACTCTGCCATTTTGAATGTGTACAGTTTTTGTATATAGAGATTTGTCATCAAGTTAAAAATATATACTTAAATATTACGAGGAGAGGTCAGAAAATTACGAAATAGGTTGTATAAAATAAAATTCAGGAAGCCTAGGTCATGAAACTCTCACTCTTAATAAAAATCTTGTTTAAATAATTTAAGTAAGAGATTGCTGTTCCAGTGAAGAAACCAGTGAAACCACGAAAACCCAACCCTTACCACGTGGCCACCTTCGTCTGCCCTACCCACATGATCCTCGTAGGGCGAAAATGTTACTTCTTTAGTCCAGAAAAAGCTAGTTGGAGCAATGCCTACTGGTCATGCCGAGACAACAAAACCAAACTGGCTGTCATCACCACCAAAATGCAGGACAATATTCTTCGAGGATTCCTGAAAGGGACCTTTACAGGTAAATCGCCCTCAACTACCACTATATTTCGTTAATAAAACAATTTTCAGCAGAAAAACACGAACGCTGGATTGGCGGAATTTTCGACTGGAAGCAGCAAAAGTGGAAATGGGCCATGAGTGGTCGAGTCATTCGTTATAAACACTTTGCAAAAGAGGCGTTAGTGACAAGCAAAAATAATACTCACCATTGTATAACCTTGGACCCCGAGTTTGATAATTTGTAAGTGTGGAGTGTAAAACACTGATCGATTTAACTATTTTGGTTGTAGATGGAATTCGAAAAATCGACTAGAAGAGAAACACTACATTTGTCAAGCCAAGTCAAAATCTGTGGTCAAGTATAATAAGACGCTTCAGGCTACCGAATTAACTAAACCTGACGCTACAGTTGTGATCAACGCGGTTGAGAGTGATAACAGAAATCAGACGAATAAAAAAATCGAAGCTCCTATCACTTATAAAACTCCGGCACATTATAATAATGAAGTTACCGATAAGTATGTCTATAATTAGAATGAGGGTAGTTGTGGAAACCCAAAATGACTGTAACTTGCGTTATGATTGTGTTCATTGTGTTAATTCCTGATTGCACTGTTGAAAAATGAGTTCTTTTGGTAGATCAACATCGGCAAAACAACACACGTTTTAAATTCCACATCATATCGAATTAATGTTATTATCTAGTGCTTCCTAATCTTAGGTACAGCTTAGTTTGTACTCTTACTTAGTGACTGCCATTTATTTAAATATTATTATTTATTTTTTATACAAATTTTATTACTTCGTAAATGTATTACTGTCACAAATTCTGTGTATGATTGTATATAACTGGTGTTTATAACGCACTCTTATCTGTAATTTTACGATAGAGAGAAATGGTATTTTACAAAATAACACTACAAACAATAATTATTCTACAAAAATTTGCAGTGTTTTTATTTTACCTTATATTTGTTGCAAATATTTATATATCAGACTTAAACTAAGTCTTTTAGGAGAAAAATTGAAAACAATATTTCCTTATTTTTACATTAGTCGTCTACGTAATTTTTGAGTCAAAAAAACAAACTTTTTCCACGTGGAAAATGCGTTTGTGAAAATTATTAATACATGTTACACGTGAGCTCAACGTGTAGTTCTTATACATGCATTCATACGTAGAACTCGTGCTGTAACAATTTCATGTATTAAAATTACTGTAATCTTTATTCTTTGTGATTTTTCCCTTTTGTATAATATTATTGCATGAAACAAATACATCATAATATCTTATTGTACTCTAACTTTTATTTACTCCTGAAAACCTTTATTGTGCGTGTACTGACTCTGGTTGGTACTGAAGCTTACACTTTTCACTGAAGATATCAAATGTTCGCAAGAGAGCTGCATTTTATGCAATTAAACAAATCTTTAATCAATTCGTTCCAAATTGCGAGATTTAGCTTATCAAACATTGAAACTTTCTACTTATTGTCGTAAAAGGAAAATTGGAATCAAACTATAAGTAATCTTGATTTCGTTTCCAATTTTACGTTATTTTATAATACCCTGTGGTATCATTTCAATAACACTTTCCCTAAACTGAAGCCTAGAAATTACAAAACTACTCAGAAATGGGTTAGTAATGACCTAAAGAATTTGCACTCCATGCTATGTGAGATGAGCAAAATTAATAAACAATTGGATAATCCCAACTTTTTTCAAAGATACTTATATACATTTAGGTAACTACATATTATAAGCAAAAAGTAGCTAAAGCTAAAGCAATGCATACCAACAAAAGAGTACTAAATTCTACTAATATCTGTAATACCTGTTGGTCAATTATAAATGAAAATCGAGGTTCTAGCCACCTACACCATCCTGAAAAAATTATCACCACCAATGGCACAACAACTAATAATCCAACTGAAATTGCAGATTTATTAAATTGCTATTTTACAACTTCCAAAAGTCAAGTAATTCCAAATAACAATATCAAAATCGTGAGAATTAATAGTGATAAATCACTGTTTTTAGCTCCAACTACCCCTGTAAAAATCAAGGACGTACTTAGTACGTGATGGGTGACTTTAATGTTGATCCCGTACGTGATTGCCGGGAGTACTTCACTCTATGTAATATTTTACAAACTTTTTATCTTGACAACATAGTAAAACAACCCCCTAGAGGTATATATACCATAGACCACATCTTTACAAATAATGTATCAAATGACCATGAATGTTTTAGTATCAAGAACCATACCCCTGATCATAATACAGTAATAGCAACAGTGGCGGCTCGTCAGATGAGGCAAGTGAGGCGGCGCCTCACAGCATATATCTTAAGAACAGATTGACTTAATTTATAATTAAAAGAGCTTTCAATGCATTTTTTGTTACAAAAATATGTTGAAATGGGAAATCTGTACATGATTTTTTATTTTTTACGCTTCCTGCTGACATTTTCCGTTGAATACCGTACGATTTATGCCCCTAGTTCTTTAACTGAAGCGGCCAGAACGTCGGTTCACATGAACCAGCGAAGCCCAATCACAGACACGGATTTCCATGGCTCAGCTCCTATACTCCTATACATGCGTTCGCTCGGAACTGAGGCGATATCTTCGGTGCTTCTCGGCCAATTTCGGTGTACTCATTAAACCATTTTTCCATTTATTTTACAGAACGGTAGGGTTGCGGGGTGCGTGGGTAATTAGGATGAACGTGAATAAAAACCCACGTGTTAATGTTTTGTGTTATTGTCTCTTTCATAGGTACAGATGAGTGAAAAATGAATCCCGAGTACGATATCGTCATGTTGCTTCTTGAAACGCCGTTTTCACGGCGAACCGAGCTAGAACGTCGGCAAATTTTGCTAAATATCGACCAGTCAAAACCGTTAATTCATTTAACTTCTATTGATAAGCGACAGAATCGTCAGTACTCCAAGTCTTTTAAATCAACTTGGTACCTACGAAACATATAAATGGCTCTGCCGTAATATTTACACAACATCCCGGGATATAACGATTTAAAGAATTTCATCCGAAGTACAAAGTTACATGAAAGTTCCAAAGTACACATTAAAAATTTCATGGGCTTAAAACGTTTAGAAAAGAACACAACAACTATTCCCGAATCCCTCCGAAAAAGTGCTACTTTCAACAAAATTTTGACTTGTAAAAACATCGTTGATTCAATGTGTTATGGGTGTTATTATTATTATTATTATTATTATTAGGACCTACCACTGACCCGAGAATGACCGGTATTCAGGCAAGACTTCTATCATTACTAACTAGTAAGACCAAGTAATATTACTATTATTGTCAAACTTCTATCATCGCCTCACCACATCAGACAGTCACGAGCCGCCACTGAATAGCAAATACAAATCTCTCTTGCAAAAGTAATAATAAAAAATCTTATATGTTTAAAAGAATGTTTAACACAAAGAATATAGAATCATTTATAAATATTATGTCAGGTGAATCATGGTTATCTCTATATGATAGCAATGATATGGACTGTGCATTTGATATATTCCATAATGTATTTGTTTCGCATTTTAATGACTGTTTTCCTGTTAAGAAAATCCCTCTTAAAAAAAGAAATGAAAAAAATTGGGTGAACAATAGTATTCGTCAATCGAGCAGTGCACTGAAAGATTTATATCAATTAAAAAAACATAACCCACATTTGTCTAAAAATTATCAGGAATCTAAACGCTTACACCTAGCACTTGTGAAAAGCACGAAAAGAGGATTATTATCAAAGAAAAATTTTTAACTCGGCTAATCCCTGCAAAGGAGCCCGGAAAATAATTAATGAATTAAGTAACAAAAATTCGAAAGCAACTACTATCAAATTGAAAGACAACACAAATAATACAATCGATGACCCATTGTCGGTAGCGGAATCCTTTAATTTGTTTTTCAGAGAAGCTGCATGTAAGACTGTCAAGCACTGCTTACCCAAAAGTTGCAATTTTAATAAGATGTTATATTGTACAAATAATCTGTTCTTATAACCAGTTACGGAAAAGAAAGTGTCTGAACTAACAAAGTTAGTAACAAAATGAGCGCTGGTCCAGATGAAATTCCAAATTTCTTTCTAAAGAAAGTCCTAGTGGCTGTAGTGAAACCATAGGTTTTTCTCATTAACCTTTCCTTTTCTAATGGCCATTTTCCAAGCAAACTTAAGTTATCAAAAATAATTCCTATTCACAAGAAAAACGATAAAGACCGTATAGACAACTACAGACCGATAGCGTTAACCTCAGTTTTCTCAAAAATTTTTGAGTACTGTTTTATTTTAAGATTAGATGCATTTATCAATAAATATGAACTTTTATCTGAAAATCAGTTCGGATTTAGAGCCAATCGATCAACATTTCTAGCACTTCACAAATTTTATGAGGAAGTTATTGAATGCCTTGAACGTGGCGAATGCCCTGCTGGGATATTCTGTGATCTCAGCAGGGCCTTTGATTGTGTCAATCACGATTTGCTATTAAACAAGATCTATGATTACGGCGTAAGAGGCATCCCTCATAGATGGATATCGAGCTTTCTGCGGGGTCGACTCCAATATGTTTCCATTCCTCACACAGACGATTTCGGCAATAAGGGATCTATCCACTCCGGTACCATTAATATTGACTTAGGAGTTCCTCAGGGGTCAATATTGGGACCGATCCTGTTCATTACGTATATCAACGATCTGGAGCATAGTCTAGATACAAATTCCAACACTACAATATACGCCGACGATACCTCACTTATTATATCGGGCAGTAATAACATAATCCCCAGTAGCAAGCAATATTTTTCTAATATGTATACAAGATTGATATAATATTAAATGTTGACTAGATATTATAAATATTTATATAATACTCATTTTATATTTATAAATTTATATATGAATTTCATCATATATTACATATTTATGAAATGTCTTTTTATCAAGATACCGAACAACAAAAATGAAAAAAAAAGTACTATGTTGGGACAACTTGTAGGTAATTTATTTCATAGGGTTTTTATTGGAGCAATATTAAAAATTGATTTGAAAAAATACTAGCTATTGTAAAATTGACACTATTCGAAATCTCACTTTGCACACTATTAATTGCTCATTTAAAAAGTTATATTTTTTTTTTATTTTTGCGAACAAAAAATAACAATTTTATTCATCATTTTTATAAAACTTACTTAAATTTGCGTTTTCTTTTAAGAACACTTAGTAAAACAGTATTTGTTAATGTCACAAAAATAAAACAAAATTTAAAGGTATAACCCTATTCAATAAACTAAACAGTGACTTGAAGGAAATTAAATCCTTTGGTCTATTTAAATCTAGGGTTCGTCAATTTCTGCTAGATAAATATTTCTACAGTGTTGAAGCATATTTTAACTTATAAATATTCCCTTTGTTGTTTATGTTACAAATTTAATTTATGTTTCTTATGTTACTAATTTGACTAGTCTTATAAATCATCTATAATTTAAATGGTGAGTAAAAATTATTAATATTATTATTAATTACTTTTATTCCATTTTAACAATTTCAGTTGACTCAAAGTAACCTTCATTCATGTTTCACTAGTTAAATCAAAGCGTTTAGTGAATTAAAAAATTGCAGTGAAGAACAGATTTTTGTTTCTTCTACAATAATATTAACATTGAATTAGTGTTTGTCTTTGAAGTAATGTTAAAGTTTTTATTTTATGATATCTTTCACTTATCACTAGAATGTAATTTTATTTATAATTAAAGTCTAATCTTTTGTTTTTGTTATTCACAAAAATGTTTAACACCTTATTGTCAACTGATAGCATCGCGAGGGCATTTAATATTTCCTGAGTCATAGTCGTTCTTAGGAAACACTTGATTCTCTCTAAAGAAGCGCAAAGAATGAAAATTAAAATCCGCAACTGAGTTACTGTTAGTGGGCACTGTCGGAACAGAACCCGATTCCAGCCACTAGACGCACGGTTTCCATGGCAACGGTGTAAACAAAACGTCTAAATCAGCTATGATTTGGTCTCCGTCTACTCTTTTATCAGCACTTCATCAGTAATAACGTATCATGTATTCAAGACACTAAAACACGACATCTTTAGATGTAAATGGATGTAAGTTTTGATACAGTACATACAAATGGAGAGAGGTAAAAAATTAGTTTTGATAATTATGACACAAATTTACGGATAATTTTTTAAATATTGAAAATTACTATTTTGCTGTGTCCAGACTGCCGTTCACTTTTTACTACAATATTCCC